AACTCAAGATGGATTAAAGATATAATTGTAAGGTCTCAGACTATAAGAATCCCAGAAGGAAACATAGGAAATACTATTCTGGGTATCAGCCTTGGAAAAACATGTATGCCTAAGTCCTCAAAAGCAATTGCAACAAAAACAAAAATTGACAAGTGAGAAACAGTTACTGCAGAACAAAAGAAACTTTATCAACGGAGTAAACAGACTATCCACAGAATTGGAGAAAATAATCACAAGCTATGCACCTGACAAAGGTCTAATATCCAGAATCTATAAAGAACTTAAGTAAAAAACAACTCTATTAAAAAAAATGGCCAAAAGACATGAACAGACACTTCTCAAAAGACATACAAGTGACCAACAAATGTGAAAACATGCTGATCATTACTAATCATCAGAGATATGCAAATCAAAACCACAATGAGATACATTTCATGCCAGTCAGAATGGCCAGTATTAAAAAGTTAAGAAAACAACATGCTGCTGATGCTGCTGTGAAAAGGGAATTTTAATACACTGGTGGTGGGAATGTAAGTCATTCAGTTTAGCCACTATGGAAAGCAGTTTGGAGACTTTCCAAAGAACTTAGAACTGGCATTGTATCTGGCAATCCCATTACTGGGTATAAATCCAAAGAAAATAAATCATTCTACCAAAAAAGACATATATATTCATATATGTTCATTGCAGCACTATTCACAAGAGCAAAGACATGGAATCCACCTCAGTGCCCATCAGTGGTAGACTGGATAAAGAAAATGTGATACATATATGCCATGGAATATTACACAGCCATGATAACATAATCATGTCCTTTGCAGCAATGTGGATGCAGCTGAAGGTCATTATTCTAAATGAATTTATGCAGAAACAGAAAACTAAATACCACATGTTCTCACTGAGAACTAAGCACTGGATGGATACTCATGGATGTAAACATGGCAACAATAGACACTGGGGACTACTCTAGAGGGGGGAGAGGGAGGATGGCAACATTTGACTATTGGGTACAATAGTCACTTCCTGGGTGATAAGATCAGTTGCACCCCAAAGCTCAGCATTATGCAATGTATCCATGTAACCTTCATACCCGCTGAATGTAAAAGTTGAAATTATCTTTTCAAATTGTAATTTCTAAGAGAAGAAATAGGAAAATTTATATATCTGATTTTGAAATGTACTATAAAGCCACAATAGTCAAGATAGTGTGGTATGGCTTAAGGATAGCTAGCTATATCAGTGAAACCGAATAGAAGGTTTAGATATAAACTTAGACTTTTCACAGGGCACTTCAATGGAGAAAAGGGGAAAACTGAATCCATATGCCAATACAATTAAAAAGCCTTCACACCATACACAATAATTAAAATGTATCATAGAGCTGAATGCAATAACAAACCATTTAACTTCCAGATGAAAACATGGAAAAAAATCCTTATGACCTTGAGTTGGGCAAAGAGTTCTTACGATACCAAAAGCATTATTAATTTTTAAAAATTATAAATTTAACTACATAAAAATTTTAATTTCAGAAGCACAATTAAATTTCAAAGGCAGTTGTGTGCAGTGGCTCATGCTGCAGTCCCAGCACTTTGGGGGATCAAGGTGGGTGGATGGCTTGAGGTCATGAGTTCAAGACTAGCCTGGCCAACATTACAAAACTTTGTCTCTACTAAAAATACAAAAATTAGCCAGGCATGGTGCTGTATGCCTCTAGTCCCAGCTACTCGGGAGGCTGAGGCACAAGAATTGCTTGAGCCCAGGAGGCAGAGGTTGCAGTGAGCTGAGATTTGCACCACTGTACTCCAGCCTGGACAATACTCCACCTCAAAAGAAGAAAGAAGAGGGGAGAGGAGAAGAGAAGGAAGGGGAGGAGAGGGAGAAAAAAAGGAAGTAAGGAAAAGAAAGAAAGGGCAAACTATAGACTGAGAAAATACTTGCAATTGTGTATCAAGTAAGTAGCTTATATCCAGAATTTATAGAACTCTTATAACTCATTAAGTTAATCCAATTAAAAATGGGCAAAAGATTTGAATGGTATTTCACCAAAGAAACTGTAAAACAAGTATTACTACCAAGGTGTTCAGCTTCCTTAGTCATTAGGAAAATGCAAATTAAAATAAAGATGACCTCCCTTTTTTCCTCTAATGGCTATGAACAGTAAAAGTGGAAATTGTTGGTGAGGATATGGAGAAACAAACAATGGTACATTGCTGGTGGAATAAGGAATTGGTACACCCATTGGATATTTCTCAACTGGTAAAAATAAATTTCCCAAATAACCCCCCGAAATAATATGAATTACTTTTAAAGGAGATAACACATAATCTAGCAATGTGAACAGCAGTTATCAGTCAGGCCATTAGTCTTCAATAATTCAAGGCTCCTTCTAATTCTTAGCTACTAAGATCCTTTTATGCACAAAGGTTTTGACACTAGAGATCATAGAAATAATATTTAATTGTGCATCTAAAGGCATGAGTTTAGATGCATGTTTAACTTTGGGGAAATTTAGCTAGAAAATCTCAACTCTGAAATCAGGATTTGAGATGATTTTTGATCTTTTGAGTTTCTATGAATTGGGATTGAGATTTGATCTTCTTACCTTACTCTGATTAAGAGTCATGAAATAGAACTTTAAAAAGAGAAAAGCATTGGAATTAGAGCCATTACCTGTTTTACCTTACACATATTATTTAAACTTTTGGATGCCTATGGCTCTTAAAATGCAAAATGAGAGGATTGTAGGATTTCATAACTTCATAATCTGAAGATACTGTACACGTTAGAGATGTAGTTGGTTGGTTTCCTTCTTCATATGTCTAGAAAAACTCATTTCATGCTCTGTTCTAAGAGATAGTCAACACTCTTCAGAAACCCTAACGACAAAGAGCCGAAAATGACCCAGAGAGAGGAATCTGAGAAAAAAATTTAATCACAAACAAGTTTAAATTTACTCACCCAGTGTTTTTAAATGTTCCTTCGGTAACATCTTTAAGGAAGTCAACCATCTAGTCGATACTGTCTTTTCAGTGATAAAGTGTCAAGTACCTTATGAGGTGGGCATTGTGTCTGGATTATTTTTGTAACGAAGTTCCTCTTTCCTTTGAGCTACATTGGTGATTGGTGATCCAGAGTTTTTTATTCATCCTCCCTGCTTCTATTCTTTTGCTAGTACAGAACAATCTGTAGACAAGACAGCTAACAGTTCTTCCAAGTAATTTCTTAACAGTAAAAAATGAACACCTCCCAGGGTTCCTGAAATCATTCTTTATATGTCTCTGATTCAAGGACTTTCACCACCCATCATGTAGGTACTATTCTGTCCTCACCTACATCAGAAGGCACTGAATATGATAGCAGAGAGTCAATTTCAGAATTGGCCTAGTCTGCTCAATGTGTTGATATTTCTCACTGTGGCCTTTTTACTATTTACTTGGACTTCTGGTTTGAGATGTTTCCACTCTGTTGGCAACCAGATTATTACTTAAGACTTTTAAATCCTTTATTCATTGGGTATAGGACCCATCTCTCCATTGTTCTTCCTTGGATCTTACATCTAGCTGGGAATAAGATGACATTAACTTACTTTGGTCTATGTCCTTGCCGGTTCTCAATAAGAAGTCAAGGAGTAAGAGGCTCAATATAGTCTAATTTTTTTCACATCACTGTTTCGTGCTGATTGACTAGCAGCTAGACTCAAGTGCCAGTTGTGCCCATGTTTTCAATGACATTTAAAAGACCATCTTAGATGTGGTATGGGTGTGATAATCCTTCCCTCCCTTCCAAATATGGTCGTGCCCTAATCCCTGTAACTTATGAATATGTTATGTTACATGACAAAGTGGATTTTTTAGATGTGATCAAGTTAATGAACTTAAAATAGATTATTCAGGTAGATCCAATCTAATAATATAATCCTTAAAAGCAGAAAACTTTTCCAACCTATGAGATAAAGATGTGAAGAAAGAAGACGGATCACAGAGATGTTACATTGCCAATTTTGAAGATGGAGGAAGGAAATCATGGAGCCTAGGAATGCAGGTGGCCTCTAGAAGATGGAAAAAGAAGGAAAATGTATGCTCCCCTAGACTCTTCAGAAAAGAAAACAGCCTTGGTGACACTCCAACTTTAGCCCAGTGAAACCATGTTGGACATCTGACTGCAGAAATGTGAGATAATAAATATGCTTATTCAGCTACCAAGTTGGTAGCAATTTAATGCAGTAATAGATAACTACTAATGCAATAATGAAGTTAATATTACTTTTGTTAAGCTAAGCTTATTCTTTAAATTAATCAAGTTATTATTTTTAAATTTTGTTTAGAGATAGCCAATGGAATAATTATAAGGATATAAATATGCTTATGGAACAAATTTAGGCACAGGAGAAAATTTTGATGGAAATATTGTCATTAACTATACAAAGAAATTCAGTGTCAAAATTAGGTAATTTAAAGATCTTAATCTTTATCAATCCATGTTATATTTTAAAATAGATTAGAATTATTCACTGTACCAAGGTGACTTTATCTTCTACAACACTTCAGTGTCATTTTAAATTCATTTTTATAGGTTTCACTGACTATTTCCCCCAAATGATTATCATCACTTCCAGCCCTACAAAATTGTGCCATGCTTGTTGTTTACAAACTTCTCAGTTGACAGGTTGTGTGTGTTTTGACAAAATTTGTCATGTGACAAACATTCTCCCTTCCTGACTTTTTGGAGCAAGAAAGGTAGATTTTTTTGTTGATGTTGAAAAATGAATAAATGAAAATTTAATTTTCTATCCTTTTTATACTCCAAGTAGCACTTATGTTACTACCTATAATAAAACCTGAACCCTCTGCTAAGGAAAACTATCACCCACAATCACTCATCTCCCAAAATGAAGAAGTGCAAGGGAGCCCTAATTTGATTTTTCTTATAACTGTTGGGGAAAGTTGCCATTTGAAAATTAACTTGATTTCAAAATGAGGCACTGATTTAGAGACAGATAACATTTTAAAAATTTATCCTTTTAATTCTTGAATCAGTAAGGACAATATTTTGCTGTTTATTGGTATAAAACAGCCCTGTCCCAGGTATACAAGGGTATACGTAAGTCTGTAACATCATTAGCTACAGTGAATTTACTAGACAGCATAGCAAAATAGGATTAACTAAAGATATATTTTTAATAAGAAAATGCTTTGAAATAACATGAAATCAATGAAGAGTTGACTGTACAATTTACTCAAAATATCAACGTATGTCAGCTCATGTGTGAATTACACTAGGTCATTCTAAACACAGCCATGTGCTCAGGAATGTGTGAAATAACTCATAAGCTATTCTCTAAGGGGGTGTACTGACAACTTCCAAAAGTACCCCAGATATTTGGTCATGGATAAGAGATACACTTTAAGGCAACCTTCCAAGTAAATGTAAAGTTTTCTAAGTGGCCTTTCCAGTAATGTATTACTACTGTGAATACTCTATACTTATTTGTAGTGCTGTTGGATATATTTTTTTTTGTAGCACATTATCACACTAATCATCATTTTATAAAAAAAAAAAAAGCATAAAAATTCTGCAATTATAAAAATGTCTGGGGTGCTTTTACTCATGGACATAAAGCAGGCACTTTCTGTTGACGTATCTCCAAATCCTAAATGTTTTCTCCTTATAGTGTTTATCTTTAGCTAGAATTGTTTCTAATATTGTTTGTGTTCTAAATACTGTTCTTATATTGAGAAATAATTTGCCTAAAATTTGTCTAATTTAAATCTGAGTTTAGAATATCTTTTCATAGGTCATATTCTACAGAAGCATTAAAAATAAATAGTGCTACTCTTTGAACATTTTTCAACATGATGACATTTTTCTGTCTGTTATACTTTTCTCCAAAACAGTTTTCAGAGCATATGAACTAAACTGACTATACTGGAGAATCGGATACAGGCCATTATAGGGTCCCCTTGTCATGACCAACTTGTTTCATTTAATCTCCTTCTTAGCCTTATAATTGGCAGAGACCACCAAGTAGTTATCTGGATTCATGTCCTTTAGAGTTGGAGATTTGCTTTGGATAGGGGATGTTTTGCCATCCACACGGGAGATCTGCAGCATTCGGCAGGGGTCGTGTTTCAACAAATACCCTGCAAAAGTTTCCCAGCCTCCTCCCACACGGACCATGACATGTTTGTTGTGCAGCATCTGAAATGAAAAAACATTAGAAGTGTTAAATTTGCAAATTCTTACAGTATCCTGAATCAAACCCTGGTTCTAATGAAATTAGTGTTTTGGTTCGTATTTCATGAACCATTGTTTTTCTATGTGGTGCACAATGTCTGAGTTAGCATACAGTCTGTGAAAGAAGTCCTGTTTATTCTATGAAAGTGGATTAAGGATAAACATCATCAGAACCCGGCTATGCTCTGCTATGGGAACAGCACCTTTGTATAATTCTTTGGTTTAATGTGCCTGGAGGTTTCTCTCTGACATCTGATGTTCTATGACAGTTCTTATCACTGCTTCTGGTTCCTGCCTACGGACTCAGCTTGGTGCTCCATTTTTCCCAGTGGGTTATTCTCCTCTGAGTCAGGATTTTAAAGACCATGGAAATGTCTGCTATTGAATTATAATGCTAAGATTCAGACAAATATTCAATACAAAATAATATTGAAAATGAACTAAAAAAAATCACTGGAGTTTTGCCCATTGTCTAAGCCCTTGAAGGCAAGGTGTTTTTGAATAGGCAAACATCCATGTTTTTCTTTATTATTTTTCTTCCTAATTTTTGTAGAATACGGTTTTTAAAACAAACAAATAACTTATGTCTAAGACCAGGAGCCATCTAGAGCTCCAACTTAACAAAGTTATTGATTTAAATGTGAAGAATGCATGAATCTTTCTATCTAGCAAAAATATGCTATGGAGGTTTGGCATTGAAAGCCAAAGAATTTGTCATCGGCTTCTTTCAAATATCAGAACATTTACTATTAAGAGGAAATATTGCACAATCATCAAAGACCCTGCTGAATCCCTCTCCTCCTCTCCTGCCCACTATGTTATGGATTCATATGGGCACCAAAATGTTGGGAAGAGGATGTTATTGTGAGAGAAGTTCTGGGAAGTCACATCATAGAGGCTACATAATCTGTTTCAATTCTTCTTATTCTGTGTGACCTTGAGAACTAGACTTTTTTTGACTCCCAGCCAGTGGGAGATGACTTGTGTTCTTACCACTTTCATGTAGGTTTTGATGAAGGTTTTGGACCTGCTTTCTATATGCCTGTATCTAAAATTTATACATGTGTATTTGGGGGTTTCACAGAATCTCATTTATGTGGTTGACATGAAGTGGTTTTCAAAATCAAATATTGTACCAACTAATAAAAATTCAATAAAAAATAGTAATTAAAACTAATAGATTTATAAGAATTAAGTGTATTTCTACTGGTTATTCTCATTTAGAATATCAGAATTTTATAAAGTGAAACCAGAAGAACTGTCCCATAGAACTGATGTTTTTGGTTTATTTTGAATAAACATAGGAATTGACCCTCCCATTCTTAAAATTTGAGAAAATTACAACTGTCTTATTTGAGTTCCCTTCTCAGAAAACCAACCAGCAGGCTCCCATATATTATGAAGGAGCTGAAACTCACTAGGTCACTGCATCTAGACAATGAGACCTCAGATCCCTCCTCTGTTGTGATTGCCTAATGGACCATCTGCTTCCTGTTGACCAATTCCTCTCCCTTATCCCTCCCTAATTCCTGTTTTCATGGTTACATTTCTTCCCTGGTATATAAAACCTTAATTTTAGTCCATCAGGGAGAGGAATTTGACACTGATAATCCAGCTCTCTGGCTGCAGCACCCGAATAAGGCCTTTTTCCCTGGCAATACTGATTGTCTCAGTGACTGGCCTTCTATGCAGTAAGCAGCAAGACCTAGACAGAACCTCTGTTATTTCAGTAACAAAAGGACCTTAGAACACATCTTCCAGCTGGAAGTCTTCAAACTTATTTTAGTATTGGAATAATGTAATGTACTCATTAAATAAAATCTCAGTGAGAATCGCTGAAATAAAAGCAGATGAAAAGAGAGTTTAGCTTGTAACTACTTTGCCTTTTCTGGCCCTGCCAGTGGTACTGAAATTGGCTCGTGTCCCACAGAACTAATATTTACTTATATAAATAAATATAATAATTGAAAACTTGAAACTTAAATTTGTCTTATCTGAGTTTCTCCCTCAGCAAACTGACCTTTGGTTAAGGAACAGGTGGTACAAGATAATTAGATGCCAGACTCCTTCCCCTCCCTAAAATTCCTGTTTTCCTGTATGTAGCTACATTCCTACTCCACTATAGAAACTCTGAATTTTAGTTGATTGCTAAAATGAATTTGAGACTGATTTGTTCTTCTTGGCTGCAGCACCCAAATAAAGCCTTCTTCCCTGGCAATACTCATTGTATCAGGGATTAGCTTTCTGTGTACAAAGCAAGAGGGCCTAACCCCTGGTGTTTCGGTCACAGTACCATGCTGTTTTACAGATGCAGACACTGAGAACCAGATCTTAGGACATAAGTAAATCAAATAAAAGATCTGATTTTCAGTGTCCAATTCTGTAAAATAAGAACCTGACTGGAGTCAGGTTGGACTGGAGCCAGGTTCTTAGCACCTGATTCCAGTTTAGTGCTTTTCTCATGACAGTTTTTACTAAAGAAATAAAATCAACTAGGGCTTTTATAATTTCATCCACATATTCATAGTCCCACATGTTCCTGCATGTATCTCGATTGCCAGCTTCCAAAATTTAAAGTCACTGGGACAAAAACTGCAAAGGCCAATGTCAGAATAACACTTTGATTCTCCCACTGTTCTAGAGAGCAACTTTGCCTATTGTTGAAGTTCTGGCACTTCCTAGCTCTGCAACTTACGTTTAAAAGTTGCCTCCAAATATCCTCAGTTGCAATGCCCCTGGCAAAATGCCCAAGTTCAATTCAGTGCTTGTGAACAGGCCATATCAAGCAGAAAGAACCACCAGTCAGAACAGTTTTTAAACAATTCTGGGAAGCAGTGACAGAAACATTTTTCAGCCTGGAGTATTACTGGCCATTTAGGCACAAATTCAGTCTGCTAATTTTTAATGAATCCACAGTACTATGCAAAGTGGATACAGCATGAAACAGAGTCATACAGAATATGAATAACACGGGAATTAAATTTCTGCTAACTTCCTCTTCCAAATCCTTCTACTGCAGATGTTGGTCTCACTCCAATATTCTTACCACAGTCAATAAGGGAGGATTAGCCAGAAATACTTAAAATGTATTTAGGTTCACTTTCCTGCCTTGGTAAGTGGTGTCTAATGGACATAATTGTATTTTTGTGAATAACATCCATCTCCAAAGTCTAGCTTCATTATGTGAACATTCCTCTAATAAGAGCTACAGTTGGAGGAGGCATACAGATTTGTTGATTAATTTTGTGTGATTTTTGGGTGGAGGAATCTATTTGTTGTTTTCTCATTTTGAAACCCAAATCTAGGGGTTTCATGAGATCATCTCATCCTTTTGAAACTTGCCCAAGTGTCCCATAGAACTAATGTTTATGATTTCTTTTGAATAAACATAGACATTTACCCTCCCAGTCTTAAAATCGGAGAAAGTTAGAATTGTTTTATCTGAGTTTTTTCTCAGAAAACCAACCATCAGGCCTCCCTGATAGTGTCAAGGAACTGAAACCTACCAGATTATCACATCTAGACAATAAGGGCCAGACCCCTCACCCATCATGATTGCCTAAGGGACCACCTGCATCTTGTAACCAACTTCTCCTTACTCATTCCTAATTCCTGTTTTCCCACACATAGTTACATTTCTTCTCTGCTCTATAAACCACTAATTTTAGTCAGTTGAGATGGATTTGGGACTTATCTCACATTCTTGGCTGCAGCACCTGACAAAGCCTTCTTTCCTGGTAACATTCATTGCCCAGTGGTTGATTTTCCATGCAGAGAGCAATAGGACAAAGACCAAACTGCTGATCCATTGGTAACAATTTGCCTTTGATTGTGGTTCTGTAGGCAATACATGGAGAGGTGTTTTTCTCCAAGGTATGAGCCGACCTCTTTCCACTCCCAGACTTTTAAAGGAAATAATGAACAGACAATTTATACCTACATTTTTGAAACATGTTCCACAGAAATAAAGAATTGTTTTAGAAACAGATGAAACTTCCTGTAAAACATTTACAGGAGACATTGCTTTATATGCACACCTTAGGGATGGGATATTACTAACAGTAAAATCAGATATCATAGGTTCCTTTCTTTTGTAAGATTTCTATTAGGTATCAGCCTCAGTAGTCTGTTTGGTTTTTCCAATTATTGCAAAAACAGTTTCTATTTTTCCTGATCTCCTCTATGGACCTAGTCACTGCTCTGTAGGCTGGGTCCTTATACATTTATCAGAACTGTAAAATGCTTCTCTCTTGCTTTGAAGGAGTTGTTTTTTCCTTTTTCTTTGCTCTTCTGTTTCTAAGCTACACTGGAAAAAAAAAAAGAGAAAACATACATAAACACACTATTTCCTTTCACTGAATGCTTCCTTGATGTTGTATTTGACAAGCATCTAAGCATCCATGATTCATGTACTTACCCATAACACTTAAAACCAAAGGGACTTTCTACAATTTCAAAGAAGAATATTGGTTTCATATGGAAGAGGAGTAATTGTGGAATCCATTACCTTTCCTCATGCCTCATTTTGGCTACTCTTGGGAGATGGAAGGGTTTTAGGTCAATATTATCAGGTTTCCACAGGAAACATTACCACCCTTCTCCATGAAATTGGTGGCCCTGTCTGAGAATATACTGTAGAAAACAGATTTTCAATACTGAGTCATTCTTGCTGAAGTCTCACACCTGAACACTATAATTTGCTAAGAAAGCCAGTGGCTAAGCTGTTCAAAAGTTTCAAGCATGGATTAAGATGTTAGGGTTATATGAAAGATAAGTGTTGGCAAGAATGTGGAGAAAAGGAAACATTTACACACTATTGGTGGGAATGCAAATTAGTAGAGCCATTATGGAAAACAGCATAAAGGTTCCTCAAAATATTAAAAATAAAGGTAGCATATGATCCATCAATCCTACCACTAGGTGTGTGTGTGTATATATATACATACACAAAGAAAGGACATCAG